GGTTTATTTGACCTAACGGGAAAACAACTTGATCTTAAATTGCTTCATTTAAGAAAAAGAAAAATCACTTGCTAGAACTCTACTTTTCTCTAGGAAATGTTACTGTCTTCCAGTGGCTTCCTTTGGAGCCCCATTAATATGTGTATCTTTAATGGGAAAAGTAGATGGCTAGTTTTTCAAGTGGAGAGGAAAAATATCACTAAGCCATTACCAGACTTAAAAAGAGAAACCACTCCCTTAGTTTCGTGCAACTAAGAGGAATAGTCGACTTGTGGAAATGATGTGTCATGGAATACAAAGAGTGCATGGCTGGATCATAACTACCTCTTGGTCAGGGGACATAGCTTCATAGCAAATGGATTGAACCACCTTAAAACAAAAATTTTGAATATGAAATAATACTAAACTTTACAGTATACAGTGGAAATATGTTCCTATAAACTCTGTATGTTTTCACATAGCTGCTGTGTTTTTGTTTAAAATACGCTTTTTGCCTGAAATGTTATCTTTTGAACTTTCAGGCATGAGTTAAATTCTTTTTCTGTGGCCTGAAGAAAGACCTACTTGGTGGCATATTTCATCTTATGAAATAAACATATTTCACTATCTGTTTGTTGCAAGTTTTCTTTCTTGTTTGGAGAACAAATGAATGGATCTCCCCTCTGCATTTGAAATATTTCAGTTTCTGGGCCTTCTAAACAAACAGCTTGAATCTTTGGTGTTCTGAATGGTACCAGAAAGATGTCTTAAACTAATTGGCACACAGCCAGAATTTTGTTTGCTCATCTTCACATGCACGATACCAGTTCATAATAATCTATAATGTTAATGGTCAGCCCTTAACTTCAGTATTAACATATTTTATTAATAGAATTTTCCTGTTGCGCTGCTTGACTAATTGGAGAAATGAAATGTTTGAAACATGGGCTAGATGTTTGGAGGTGGCATTGAGAGGCAAGGATACTGATCATCTTAAGAAGTGGGAATGCTATGCTTTTTCTCAGCTTTCAATGTCTGGCTTCCACTTCTAAACCCGTTTTGAGGATGTAGCTCAGGAACTTTGTGTGAACATAGTTACTATCACTGGTTTTATCTTCAGTTTGTTGAAGTTGTCCAGCTTTTGCTGCTTCAAAGTACGATTTTTCTGGTGACCTCTTTTTGGAAGCCAACCTTTGAGGGTCTGTGAGAAGCATGTGATAGTTTACTTCTGATAGGAGCAGGTTAGTTGCTTTCAAGGTCTTGCACCTTTTCTTCTGGGCTTTTAGGCCTTACATGAAGTGTTTCTTCTTTGACATGTTCCTCTACCAATTCATTTGAAGCTGACATAGTTAAGATACGCAGGATGTATTTAAATTTTCCATCTCTGGTAATAGTACCCGAGTTTTATGGATGTTAGTTTACATTTGCCCAGTACTGACATTTTGCTAATTGCAGCACAGAATTATAAGATGGTGCCTAATCCCCACAGGGTGGATTTAGTGGTCTAAGCAGACAGCTTATGGAAGATGAGAGGAAAACCAGTATGCTGGGGTGAAATGACTTGCATAAAACATCACAAAGCAGAATGATGGCAATGAGGTGATAAATAGAGTAAGTTTAAGGCTTCTGACTTGCCTACCACCCAACCCGTAGAAACATGATGTCCTCTCCCACCTGAGAGGAGAATGATCTCTATTTGAGGAATATGGACACAAAAAATATTGTCATCGTATGCTGCTATTGCTAGCCAGTAGTGTCCTGGAACTTGAATTGAACCTTGCCTTTCTAAATTATATTTCCTTTCATTGTGTCCCTTTTTTATTGTCACCTCAGTCACCAGACCTTCCTTCCAGCCTACTCCCTTTCAGGCTTCTGGAACATTGTATAACCAACTAAGTTGACCACAATAGAGTGTGATACTAAATTTTCTCTGGATGCTTTCAGTTTTAGTAAAGATCCCTTGTGTCAGATCAGCTTGCATGTATCTTTCTGAAGGTGTCTTTAGTTACTCATTAAAACAACTGCTAAGATCATAGCTCTTTTGTTCCTAAGTGTTTGGTTCTGATTCTTTTATTTTTTAAAGTAGTCATTGTCTTTCTATCATGTTGGAATAGAGGTGAAGAGGCAGCTTTTCAAATGTGCATATAACTTGGGCAGCTTAAAAGCTTAGTCCCTTTTTGTTCACTTGGATTAATTGGTAGTCTTCAGGTCCCACATTAGAGCATCTCTGAAGATCATTGGTTCAATACACCTTCATCTACAGGTTTTCCACAGTTGAACTTTCACTGATTCTCTTGATGGATTCTTGCACTTAGATGTAAACTTGGAGAATGGGCAACACTTGCATGTCTTGTCGTAACTTGGAGCATCTACATACCATTGGATTTGTGTTGCTGAACTCCAGTGTTGCTCAGGTTGTATTAAGGTAGCATTGTAGCTCTGGTTACTGAAGGAGTATGCATATATGCTTTTTCCCTAATACTACCATAACTTTTATATGTAGTTCTTAAAATACTGACAAGTAGAATTCATAGGGTCATTTTTAGAAATAATAAAAAATTGGAGGAAAGTTAGTATAATGTATTCTAGAATTGACACTGTTGTGAAAGTATTGATAACTCTGAATTGTTCAGACACTCCTAGTAACTGTCACAAATATTTGAGGAAGGGATGAACTGTGCCACTGGCGTGGGGCTGTGGCAGAGCTGGTGCTCTGCCTGCAGTATTAAATATTCCTAATGCTGCATCTGTTCAAAACCACTCCGATGTCACTCCGGGTGCTCCACGTTTTAGTGTACATAGTGCGTTTTTTCAGTGTCCGTTACTGTGATTAGTGGAGAATAGATTCTGTAGTTTGTTGATCTTTTGTGCATTGATGAGTAAAAGAATAAGAAAAGATTAATAGAATGCCTTTAACTTGAAGGACAACTGTAATGAAATAACAAAGATTTCTCCTGTTTCAACAGATCAGTAGAGGTCTACAGTGACAACAAAACAGCTCCTTTTCCACTCTGTTGTTGGTTAAATATGTCTTTAAATACTTGGAAGGCTTTTTTTGCTGGCAGTATCTTATGCTGTGCTGCTGCTGAAAATCCAGAGAAATGAAAAAATAGTTTTGAAATAGATGAGTTCCCTGATGGAAAGCTGGTGCTGGCACAAAGGAGACCCTGAGGATAGTATCACTCCTTGAGGCTGAAGCCTGTGTTAGTGCTGGCTTATGCTGATCATGAGTCTGCATTCTTTTGAATTTCATAGTTGATTTATGGAAAAAGTAATTTGTTGGGGAGGGTACTCTTGCAGTACTTCATTTGTAGCAAATGTCTTACTAACATGAGAATCTCATGCAGTTTAGATTTTTATTCTAGAAAAGTCTGGCTTTTTTGCTTTGGTACTTGTGATATGACAACTTCATGGTTGCTTCAAAGTAACTCTTGTAGCTTAACTTTTGTAATAATGTTGCCACATAACCTAATTATTTTACAGAGAGCTTTTGAGTGGAGGTTAGGGAGGATTTTGCAAAGGCTTGAAAAGCGCTGAGGAAATTGATCCTGCTTCAGTAGACTTCAGATGTATGAAATGTAATACTCAAAGTTAAATAGTTAATTACTTAAAAATGGACTAAGCTTATGACTACTAAGTAGTACTAATTAATTAACTCTAATGTGAATATATCAGTTATTCGCAAAATGCAACTGGTGAGCCTGTTAAAACTATTTAATTTTGTGTATACATAAAGGGATTGATTTACAGGGGTTTTTTTTAAACTAAGTAGTGGCATTACACATACAACTTTGGTGTAAGCCTGCCGCTGCTGAGTGGCTTCTGAGAAAACCCTTAGGAACCCCCTTGAAGAGGCTCTTCTGAGGCAGAGGCTGTTGAGACTTATTTTTTGTTATTTGCCAGTCAGGTATGTGGTCTGGCATACATCTCTTGCTCCCCTATTTCAGGATTCTCTGCAACTGTAGGAGTTTGTTGTTTGCTTTTGTGTTGTATTTTGAGATGAAAAATTGCAATTCCATAATTCAAACCATCAACCTTCAAAGGTGAATAATAAGTGCTTGTTCAGTAGGCTCTGTGCAATGTTAGCTATACTGGGTTAAAATATGTTCTGTTTAAAAGGGAAAAAAATGAAATTGCTAAATGTTTGAGTTTGGTAATATGGGACTTTTTATTTCAAGCTCCAGCTGGTTATCTGTAATATCTTATTTTCCTCCCAAATCATTTTCTATTAGCTTTTCCAGGTCCACCTCTGTAACTTGTTAGGTATTTACATCCTAGTGATATTTTAATAGTTGCTGTGTTGTATCTTTAAACCTAATTTCAGATTCAGGTGTCTATTTTCTCAGAGCCTGACATGGCATCTCATAAATTAGTCAGTCTGCGAAACTGATGCTGAATGCTGTGGGCAGCCCCCTTCCCCCCAGTCACTTGACCTCTTCTTTTGGCTTTCATCTGTTACCTCACCAGTGTCACACTGACTATTGTATTCCCTGCAAAGCTTATCTAGGTTAGCAGAGCCATTGTATATCATCTTAAAGACAGCTACAATTCTGTAAGCTGCTGAAAATTGGAAGACAGACAGTTTTAGTTGTCAAACTGAGAAGACCTAGCAACATTGAACCCAGATTGGAAAGTTGTGCATCTGAATTACTCTGATATTCAGTTAACTGCTTTGAAGCAGAACCACAGCCAAAAGTGATGGAAATGTACTGACCTGCAGATGTGACATGGGTTTCAGGAAACAAGTTCCTCATTTAAAGCAAGTATTTTCTCTACTACGTAGTGTAGTTTTTCTGCCAAAAGAAGGAATCTTTCACTTCTGGTGTTTGTAAGATTATTTTATTTAATGGTGATAAAGTGTTATTGGCTACTGTGATATACTTGAGCGAATAAATAGATTTTGTTTCATTGAAAAGAAATAAAACAATATCTTACTGATTTCACTGGTTAATAGGTGTTCTTGAATATGCCAGTAAGATATTTAAGGTGAAGTGCTTGTGGGTACCTTCCTGCTTATCCACATGAATCTTCTCATCTATGCAAAAAGGTTTGGAGATCAACCAACAGCAGACAGAACTTCAGGTGAATGTGAGTTGATGAGTCAAGTTAGAGAAACGTATTTGCTATGTACACATTTTACAAAATGGCCTACACTCAGGAGCAACAGATTAGCAATATAAGAATCTTTCACTTAAGATAGTCACATTTGGATTGTGTAGTCCAGCCTGAACTAGTTGACTCTGTAATATTAGTCTTGAAAGAGTCCATTTTGTACAAATCTATATTCATTTATTGCTGTACAACTTGCGTCCTGGTATCTTACCTGTACCTGCTTGTCTTTCATCCTTCTAGTTCTGAATACTTAAGTTCAGTGTCTTTTTCCTGTCCTAAAACTGTTGTAGCTGTTGATTGATATCCATCTTGACATTGTACCAGCCAGGCAATGAAAGGAATTGGTTTGTTTCATGTGTTCAGGTAATTCAAGGTACAGTAAGTGCAGTGGGAAGCTTCTGCAGAGTAATTATGTTGTATTGGTTTCCTTGGTTTCTGACCAACTTTCTTGCATCTCCATGGTAGTTTGATGCTGATGGCCTGTTTCCCAGCAGTGGCTGTATGCTATGTTCCCTTTGTCCACTAGCCTACAAACTCAGTCAAGATACTTGGACCCTCAAACCTTAAACACACACATTCTGTGGGCAATCTCATTCCCCTCTTTGAAAAGGAAACACAGCAGTTCTCAAACCTTGGTTAAATTCACCAGGAGTGTCAGGTGACTGTGCAATTTCGAACACTTTAACTGTTTCATAACAGAAGGTTAATGAATTTTAAGGTTGTTAAGTGCTCACATGACATGCCTTTTATAGAATGTATTATCTTTGAATTCTCCTTTCTGGTGGTAGCCTCTCAAGTGACTTTTCACAGATATACTTTCAGTCATGTTATCAAAGACGCTGCACTTAATCAGCTTGCATAAAAACATAGATTAACTCTCAGTGTGAAAGATCAGTGATCTTGCACTTGAGTTTCAGCACTGCTTGACTTAAAAAAGATGAGTTTAGTCTTTTAATAAAAAGCTTGAAAAATGTTTACAAAGATGTTGTATAACTTCTCATGCAAAGGTATGAAGTGTGCTGTGACACAGGAAGTGTTCCAGGGATTCTGGGAGAAGTGCTGACACTCAGATACTCGCTGCATGTCTGTACACTAATACAATTCAAAAGCAATTGAGCCAGATCTTTATTTGAGTCCCTATTAGAGAACTTCAGTAAAAAAAGAAACTGTTTAGTGCTGACAACTCCTGTGGGATTTTAAACCTACTGACGCTTGTTTTCTCACAACCTCTTGTTAAATGATTTCATTCATGCTCAGTTGGCATAGCAGAGCTGGCCTGTAGAAGGTTAAAACCTGATGTAACATTTTCAGATGGGTCAATAGTGTGTACAGTTGTAGTAGGATATAAGTGAAATCCCTTATGCCTATGTGTTTCTCTGTAGTTTCTTCTGGTAAGTCTAAGACAACCAATATCTCTCAGCTCTAGGGAAGAGGCGTAGAACGGTACGAAACTAATGGGCATGTTTCTAGCAATCTTTATGGGAGCTCAGTTTCCGATGCCAAGAGGTAAACCTGGAGAAGACAAATATGAGTGATTGTGCTGGCTTTGATTGCCAGAGTTAACCTTAGTGAAAATAACATGCTTACTGCCTTCCAAGGTAAAATACGAGAGTTTCTTGCACAAAAGTCGTGGCTCTTCAGTGTTGGTTCTCCAGGTACTATGGATTCAAGTATACAATGTCAGGGCATCTATATTGGACTGGTAGAGAACCAGGAATACCCAGGCCAGGCTAACAAGTTTGCATTCCTAAGAAGTACAGATTGCTGAAAACTAAGACTTGATAATAAGGATGTTAAGTCTCTCCACTGTAAATGTTTTATTATGTTAGTTGCAGGTGAAATACCGTGAATACCTGCAGGGTATTCATTGTCATTTAAATATATCAGATATGTTTTTAGGACAGACTTAGTTTCAGTTGCAAGGGGCCAGTCTCAGTTAGTCTCACTGTGGATGCTTTATGAACAATATGCTTAATATGGCTTTTATACCAGCCAGCAGCGTTGATCTGTTAAAGTATTTCAGAATCCAGCACTTCAGGGAGCTGCTTTGGTGGGTAAATGGTAAATCTAAATGAAACAAGCAGAAGAGTTATGTGAATACTGCACAGAGCTTCTGAAAAGATGACTCAGTCCAACGTGGATACTTTCTTAGCAATTTTGTGTTTGCAGTCTGTACTGTGTGTGTACCAGAGAATACTGTGGGCTAGCTACTTCTAACAATATGTGCTCTGACAGTATGTGCTTTCAGATCCTTCTTTAACCGTCCTTTTTCTTTCTTTTTCTTCTGACAGTAAGAGTGCTTTTTGCTGATAGCCTTGCCAGGCATTGAGGACACTTTTTGTTGTTTAAATAATCTAGTTGGTCTTTTATCCATTTTGGTGCTCTGAGATATGTCAAAGCCCAGGGCTGAAAAGTTAGTGTCACTGTGACTGAAGGGAGATGCTTTAACCAGATAACTGTTTTTCAGAACAGAGTTGTCTGATCTGGAATTTAATTTTATATTTCAAACTTCAGTAGTTAATTTACTGTCGTAGTAGCAGTAGAACACTTTCAGCTCAGAGCTGTCAACCCCAGTTGCTAAAGGTTATGTTGTGCTTTAGTCTTGTGTGTAAGGCAGAGCTGTAGTAGGCAAGTATGTAACTCCCGGAGACTTTTGAAGTGGAGGGGATCACTTCTTGAGAGTGGGCATAATTTTTAGCTTTGGAGTTTTGTGCAGGGCATTCTTACAGCACTTTTACTTCCCAATATTCATTATGAACATAAGGCCAGAATATTAGTTGAATTTCTACCAAAGCCACAGATAACTTAATAATGTTTTGAGGAGTCTTACTCATTAAATGCAGTGTTGTTTCTGTTGAATTGTAGTAGTAAGCTGAAAAGGTAATACTAGAGGAAATAGGATTGAACATTACTTTCTGGGTTTTAGCCTGCTTTTCCCAGATACAGTAGCTTGCTCTGTAGTGAATAGATGAAGTCTAGGCTTTGTGACAATCAACATCACCTGACTCAATGGCACTGCGTACATCTCCTGTCTTCACCAGCTCAGTTGATTCGGTTATTTGTAGGAAACAAAGAAGTTAAGGTCTATCACAAATGAGTTAGTTACATCACCGAGGATTAAAATATCACCTTTTTTTTTTTTTTTTTCCCCCTCCTGTGAAATGGATGGACAAGGACCTATCCTGCATGCAGTTCAGAGGATGTAATATGGGAAACTATCTGGTTCATTAGATTTTGAGTCCTAATTCTGGGCTCATTTAAGAAATAGAGGGGGAAGAGTCAGCTTCGGTAAATGCTAGTTAATTTTAGTGCAACAATGAGACAAGACATGTTTTCTAAGATTCTTTGAATAATTCAAAGCTTTCTATGTGTCAGAACTGTGATTTACCTGAAGCATAGCTAGGAGATTTGTTGCTACATTGTCAGTCAGTTTTTAATATAGAAATTAAGTAGTGTAAGTCTATAAAATCTACATTTTAGTTTAGCCAGATTTTGACACAAATAGATGAATTTCCTGGGTGTTTGCATGTAGTGACTTCACTGCTTGGCACAAACTTTCAATAGATCCACCTTCTGTCCAGCACTTCCAAACTAATTATTTTTGCCACTTTTAAATTTGCCTTAATCCTAAGAGATAGGTGCCTTTTTACTTTTAATGCAGGTTAAAATAAAGCCAGCCCCGGCTCCCCCCTTAATACAGAACTCTCTTAATTTGTTGGATATGTCTGCCCAAGAAGATGGGAAAAATTCAATACTCCAGGGAGAAATCCTTCAGGGGCGTCTTTCTGTAGTGCTAAATTTATTCTCAGAAAATGTTTCCTTAGAATAGAAGCGTATTAACATTGAATTTTCTGTTTGTATGTGGTGGTTCTGCGTGTTTGAGATGTTGGAGTGGAAATTAAGAAAATAAAATCATATTGGGAACTAAGCACAAATTTTAAGAAATCCTAGATTGGCTTTACTGCAGTACTTTATTTGAGAGGGCAGAAAGAGTAAATCTTGCTTTTTGAGAGAAACCTCTTTTTAATGTCACAGCATACATACTGAGTCTGTGTGGTGCTAATGGATATGGAAAGTTTTTCTGGTGATAACACAAGACTAGAAGTGTTAAAATATTACAGCTGCAGGCACGTGAGTATTTTAATGATTAGGAAATGAGGACGGGAGTATCACAGTGATATGGAAAGGCTGACTAGGGATTGCCTGTTCAGTTTGCTCAAATACAAGAATGAGGGGTGGTTATGTAAGACTGAGTGAAATTCAGACTCCTCCAGAAAGGAGGAGTTTCTTTACATGAATGATTGTGGATCTGTGAAGCTCCTTGTCAGAGAATTTCCTGGGTGTAAGAAATTTATGCAGGCTCAGAGGGAAGCTGAAGTACATGGAAGAAAACCATGAAGGCTATTGAACAGACAAATCACATCAGGCTCAGGAAGACACCTGAAAAGAGCTGGGGGCTGAAGAACACTGGAATATCAAGGTTTTTTTCTGTTAAATTTTGGAGATGGCACTAAAGGGAACTTGTGTCATATTACGAAAGAGGAAAAATTTGAGCAAAGAGTTAGAGCAGAAGACAGAGAGAAGCCAGTGGATAACCAAAGTCTTTGCATTTTTAAATACAGAATTGGAGTGAAATGTTGTAAGCAGTAATAAGAATAGGAAAAACACACTAGATTTGATTTTTTTGTGTTTATTATAAATGTGGATATATAGATATCAGTTGGAGGAACTAAAATTTCTAATTATTGTTTATCACTTTTTTATTAGCAAAACCAAATAGGAAGCTGACATTCCTGTACTTGGCCAATGATGTCATACAGAACAGCAAAAGGAAAGGACCAGAATTTACAAAAGACTTTGCTCCAGTAATAGTGGAGGCTTTTAAGCATGTTTCAAGGTACAGTAAATTTACGTGTGATCATACTGTATTTGAGGGAATATACTTCATCACACTGTATTTGAGGGAATTTGGAGAATTCCTCAGTTCATCTCTTCTGACCCAGCTAGTCCTTGTGTGCTATTTCTATACTTGAAGTCTTGTCAATTTAATTTATTCAATGTTCTTTTGGTCTTGGATAATCTTAATACTATTGGATGAAGTTACGTAGTAAATTCATCTGCATTCAGTCCCTTTTACCTTAGAAAGCTGTTAGCTATGCCTTGAATTAAGACTTGCTTTCAGTCTGCATTTATATGCTACAACAGTGTGATATGCTTCATGACTAGTGCTGCATGATTTATTTTTTTCCAGCAACCATTCACCTTGTTGCATGAGGATGCTAGAATCTTGACACAGAATTACTTTCACATGGCACACAACTGTTGACACAACACAAACCCATTTGCAGTGTTTGTGTAATAGGGTTACAGACCTACAGATTTACGGGTTGAGCGAGCAAACAGAAAGATGGAGTTGGGCGTTGGCTTTTTTAATATGCTTGGTAAAACATCATGAACTGGTCTTTGCTTTCTTTTCTTTAGAATGTGATTTTGTTATTTGCTGACTATTGGATGTCTGATATGGCAGTCCTGTACTTTTACCTAGTGCTGATTTTTGTTTTTTTTTCTTGTAACAGTGAGTCTGATGAGAGTTGTAAGAAACACCTTGGCCGAGTGCTCTCTATTTGGGAAGAAAGGTCTGTTTATGAAAATGATGTATTAGAACAACTTAGGCAAGCTTTGTGTAAGTATTTTATTTGTGTATGAAGATTCAGTCTCTTGTTTGAAATGTTTTTTTCTCTGACTTTTCTGTTTGTTTTCATTTAGATGGAGACAGAAAGGTGAGGAAGCGCACATATGAGCAGATAAAAGTTGATGAAAATAACTGTTCACCTCGAAGTTCTCCCACTGACCCTCCACAGGTAAAAGCATGTTTATAAAATTCTGTATTTGCATAGGGCTTGATATAGAATTTTTTCAGTTATTCTTCTTTTTGGATGGTCTCTGTTCTTCTTTTTAATGAAGTACTATTTCTAAGAAACGGTAACTACACCTGAAACTTTTCTTTGCAGTACTTTAGCTTACAAGTGGAGCTAAGGAGTTGAGTGTGCTGTAGCTTTAGTCAGTTTGACACTAATCCAGAATGTAGGAACTATAGATCCAGCTTTGTCCGCATCAGGATTTCAGCATTAGTTTCTATAGTGTTTTATGTTCTAATTTGGTTTCCAGGGTGGTAACCAGTAACGCACGTGTTAGAGTAAGATTGTTATCAGTTTATCAGTAAAATATTTCTCAATGTTGCAAAAATGATGGTTGGGAAAAAATTGTTGTCTACCTTGCATTAGTATGGCTTTTATAATTACTGTTTTGGTTTTTTGATATGGTACTGCCCCATCTCAAAAGTCTTTTTGTTATGGCAAAGAATGACTGTCCTCAAATAATCAGTTTAGTATGTTTCTCTGTAATAGACTTCTGGGCTTCTATGAATATCAGCCCTACTTCTAAAAGCAGTGCACTGATCTAGTCTGATGCAATAGTGAAGCAAAACTACAAGAAAAATAATCTCAAAAATGCGTAGTAAAATTTAAGGTACTGTAAAATAATCACTGCTGTCAAAAATAAAAGATTTATAAGTCTGTCAAAAAGACAAGATTTATAAGTAGTCCTATACCAAGAATTTAAATGAAAAAATCTATTTTAGGAGGGTGACCTTTAAAACTAGGAACAGTGCAATGTTGTTCTAAGAATTAATGGCTTAGTTTTGTTTTGTTTTCATTCTGAGAGGGGATAGAACATTGCTATAATGCTGATATCATAAATGCTTTTAAGATTACCATCATATTGATACCATAAGCTTATTGTGAAATACTGTTTTGTACTAGAATCTGTTTATTTAAACTAGTTCTCAGTCTTGCATGCTTTTTTCAGACCACAGATCTCATTAGAGCATTACAAGAACTAGAAAACGCTGCCTCTGGGGATGCAGCAGTTCATCAGAGAATAGCTTCTTTGCCTATTGAGGTCCAAGATGTGTCCCTGTTAGACAGAATAACAGGTGAGGGCTGGGATCCAGTAACTGAAATGCTGTTCTGAGAACTTAACATTATATAATGAAATCATGCTTTACTTGTTTTTCTCTGCTTCATTTTTAGATAAGGAATCTGGAGAGCAACTTTCCAAAATGGTAGATGATGCATGTATGTTGCTGGCGGATTACAATGGCAGGTTGGCAGCTGAAATAGATGATAGAAAACAGCTAACTCGAATGTTGTCGGACTTTCTCCGATGTCAAAAAGAATTCCTTGCAGAGAAAGAACATAAGCTGGAAGTGCGTAATGTTTTGTTTTAGTCCATTCTTCACTAAAGCTTGTTCTTGCAAATGTTTTTAGTTTGCCTAAACAAATTTTCTCTCCAAAGGTAAATATTTGATCGCCACTGTTAGGTCTTTACTTCCAGCACGTTTTTAAGGAGATTTTTTTTTTTCTAGTGTTCTAAATCTATTAAACCAGCTCAACATTAGGTAATGTTATGACTGTAATCACTTCAGTGTTTGTCTTTCTGGTTTTCAGTCTATTCAGTCTTCATTATGTGTACAGACTTAGTTTTAGTAGTGCAGATAAAAAGTCTTGTCCTGAATGGTACAAACTTAATTCTTCATAGGGTACATTTTTTGTTGTTCCTTTCATTCACTGTTTTAAATCGTAGTTCTGTATTACATTGTTTAATACTCTTTTTGTGAAGAGAATGACCTTTCTGGTAGGTGTAGGTTCGTGAAGCCACTTAAAGGTTAAAAATTTAGTTACTGATTTCAGCACAACTTCTTAACCTGACTCAAACATCCATTAAACCCAGTAAAATGTAGTCTTAGATTGTACAGCCTCTAACACAGCTGATTAGCAGCATTTCTAGCACTAGCACCATTAGGACAGGACAAATCATTGATAAAAGCAGGATGCAGAGTGAACAGCTCATTATGAGCAAATGATCCCCTAAGTTATTCTGTTCTTCACTATGACTAGTCTTCTGTTTTCCTTTCGAACCACATAATATTGTCAAGCTTCCTGTTGAACATCCCATGTATCCTAAATATGTCCATAATTTCATGTCCATTGCTTCCCAAATCCCTTTTGAGATATAGGTTCCAGTGCTAACTTGAATATTACAGTAATAGAACTGAATCTGCATCCTTTTGCAGGGGGAGATAGCTGAACAGTTGTGGTGCCCTGTAACTGCAGGATATGCGTGTAATCCTTACATGGTGCACAAATTGATTGCTCTTCAGGTTTCACATCATACATATATGTTAAGAATATTTTCTTCACTCTGTGGTTTCCTTACCCTTTTGTAACTTCATAACTTGATTTCAGATTTTATGGTGTCTTTGTTCAGGAAAATGCTGTTCACAATGTATCTGAAGTCATCATTCAGATCAGTTGTGTCATTCCTAGACTACTTTTATTTCCTGACTTCCTTCCTTTACTCTGTGCCTCACAGAAAAGCAATTGATGAAGGTTCTTCCTATCAACCTCACTGTCTTTATCCTGTGGGAAGAATATCAACCAACTTTCATGTAAGACAGATGGTATGCACAGTAGTGCTGATTACAGTAGCAACTGATACAGCTGCACAATGGAACCTGGAAGATTAAAGAACAGGAAGCCTTAAGCCTTTCATCACCTGCCCTACCTTCCCTCTGTGTCTGTGTGTGCAATGTGTTTGAAGGTCAGGTTCCCTCAGTACCAGTGTGGGACTGATTGTCTTGAGACACTCGCTTATTTTTCTAGACCATTGCCAGCAAGTGGGCCCTGTTTAGATACAGTAGGCTACTGGGATAGTGAGTGACTCAAAAGGCAGTGACTTTGTCCTTAGACATATTTATACTTCTGTAAAAACAAAAGAGCTCAATTAATCAGAAATTATGGAATGCAGCTGTGAACAGATTTCACTCTTCTTGGTTATTTTCAACAAACAGAAAACAGTTTAATTTCCCAGTATTATATTTAAGCTGTTAAAGAATCTCATTCTAATACAGCACACTTCCAGTTTCAGAGGTCTTTGTTTAGAAATCAGGAGTCTTCAGTATCAGTAGCAATCTATTTTAAACAGATGAAGCCCTAGGATGTTGAGGTAGACTTTAAGACTTTTTAGGCTGATCAGTGTGGCATAAATGCAGGTTACTAATAAAGAACTGTGAGGCCAGATGGTGTCAACTCAAGGTACAAATAAAGAGCTATGAACCAAGAGACTCTAAAGAACAAGAACCTTAAAATCAGGCTTCTAAACCTGTGTTAAGATGAGTGAAGTGACTTCATGCTTACTACATAGTGAGGTCCCTAGGTTTTGCCACTTAAGTTTAATTTCTGGTGATATCAATTTGTTTTAGACAGGCTTTAACCTTCTGACCTTTTTTTGGGTGTAATATTGCCTCTGGGTTATAACATATCAAGCCTTCATTTCTTTTTGAGTTAGTATTGACAATCTGTGAGTACATTGCTGAGATCCTATCTTACTGATTTGTAAAACACCCAGGTATGGTAAGAAACAAGTGGTTGTATTCTTAGTGGAATCTAGAAATGTTACCTGTTGTTGACCTGGTTTAACAGTATTAGAATTTGAATTCCCAAAGAATTCTTGCTAACCTTAAACTTTAGATGGGAGCTTTAGACCTAAATTTGCAGATATTTTCTCTTCTGAAGGAAATGTACAGGTAAGTAACTTTGAATAACCAATCTTTCCATGAGTAGTTTTTTAAGAATAAGAGTTTCTCTAATAGTTATTTCTAAACAGAATTTCATGATTCCCATTAAAATCAAGGTAATGTATGTATTAAATCTTGACAGAACCTTTTGACAACCCATAAATAATATGAGCTATCATGTCTGCATCAAAAGCTAACTACTGGTTAGTAGGTGATTTCTTAAGTCTGCTCTGGGTAAGTAGTGTCATCTTTAACTCTTAAATTGTTTTCTTTAACATCTGTCTAGCTTCTGTTGCAGGTGGTGGACATGGACCTATCTTCTAATGATGTCACCATCCATTAGTACACACATCCTGCTAAAAATAAATTTAAGAATCAAAATCTTGTATTGTCTGTTGTTTTTGAAAACTGAAGAGGAGGAATTCTGTAACTACTCATACCAAACCTCTGCTATTTTCATCTGTATCCTCACAAACCTTACTGAGTTTATGCATGAGATGGATAAGTATTCATCCAGTGTCATTCCTTTTTCTTGAAGACTCAAACTTCCACATGGTTGTTCCTAAAACTCACAGATCCTTTCGGTTAAATTATTTGAAATTCCAAATGCAGAAGTTTGGGTGTCACTGGCATAGAAGCTGCAATTACCAAAAGGAAAGAGCTGTGAAAACAACTTTCTCAGACTTTCACTTTTTAACTTACACTCTAGCTATTGGGTTTATGTGAACACCAGAAATGAGAAGTGATGGAACTTGTCCTTAACAAGCACAGTAAAAAACTTCCACTTCATTGGTGTACATCTGTTTTACATTTTATGTAGGTGACAGAGAAGATGTATTTTATAATTGCTTTTATCCCCCTTTAGAGCCCCTGTCAAATTTAGGATCATCCTAAAGAGCATTTTCCCTTCACTTCTGTAAGTTTTGAAGTAGTATAAATATTTAAGATTCAGTGTACTGTAGCTGTATCTGGAAACTTGTATGGGTTTTATATCTATATTTGTTTAGGTAGATGTGATTCTGTTAGAGAAAATGTGACTTTTTCCAGAAACTGTTTTGTACGAACCCTTTTTTCTGAGAGCTTTGAGGACTAATATAATTTCCTGTTTCCTGCTACTTTGGCTGGCTCTTACCTCTCCGATTCCTCATTGTGTCCCCTTCCTACCTCACTGCCTGTCCCCTAGTTTTTGAACAGAAATGTTGGTTGATCTGTTGATCTCACTGGAGGCTGATAAAGAGAGTTTTTTGTTATGCAGGAACAGAGAATTGGGTATATATAAGTTAATATCCAGGTGCACTCATCTCCTTGTGATAAAGACTGTCCTGAAGACATTCTAGAATTAACATCCCCTTAAAAATACAGGGATGACATAAAAAAGAGAAGTACTTGCTTTACTTCTTTTCCATATTGTTTTGCTTTTGCCTTTTCCACAATCTCCCTGATTGCAGAGTAAATAGACTCTTACTAAATTTCAAATAAAAGCTTTAATAGTTCAGAATCTTACACGACTTATGAGTGTGGGCAGGGGATCATAAGACCTTTTTATAGAAAAACAAGACAGCCTTCTCTCACCTTCATTTTGTTATTATGGAAAAACATAACATCACTACACTTAGCGTGTACTGGATGACCCAGTTTCTTACATAGTGTTTCTCTCAACTTACCACTTTAAATTGGGGAACATTCTTGTCACTAAATCCAAACTTTAAGAAGAAAATGCTACTCTGGGAGGCCTGTTGTGTTTTAGGAGCTTGCATTTAATTAAGATGCTTTTATTGGCGATGTTGCTGTCTTGCATTCCTTATTTTCTCCAGCTGTATAAACAATATTCATATCCTTACACTCACACATCTGGTTATAATTGTGGTTTCTTAGCGCGTTGAGAGAATGTTATATATTCAATGCACTTTTATTTCATGATTGAGCTATATAGCTCAATATAGCTTCACTTGTCTTCCTAAAGGGTTTAATGTCATGGGATTTTATGGGTAAACAGCAAGAAGTTAGTCATCCTAGTCTGTTGCTCTGGAGTCAAAAGACTTGCTTTTTTTTTTTTTGCCTTCTTTTTTTTGCCTTTTTTTTTTTTTATTTTGCTTTTCTCTTCCCTCCTCTCTGCCTTCTTCTCTGTTCAGTTCCAGCTTAATGCAGACAAAAATGTTTAGCAAGGAATTTAGGGATGGCAGTGGTATAACGAGCCTCTTCTGTTCAGGTTTTGTTTCTCAGTGCAAGACTGGATTGATATTATTGTCTACTGTTTCCCTCCACCATGGCCTTCGTGTTATCACAGAGCGTAGTGCTTCCTTGCTGCTTTCTGTTCTTTAGACCCCTTATACGTACCTTTGGATGCCAGCTTCTTTATTTCAGTGCTAGATGAACTTAGGGTAATACATTCAGTCATGCTTCATACTTTTCAAGTCCACTTAAAATAATTTGGTTTAATTTCTTCATAACCTTGCAACTGAGGAGCTAAAGTGTTTTGCTGAGCTGTGATTGAAGGTGAGGAAGATTGATTTGTAGCATGAATCCTACACTGCTTTTTGTTAGAGGGTGAAGTTCACAGCATTGTAGTAATCTACAACCCCCTCAGTGTGGCAGTGCCACAGTAACTCAGGTTAATCTTGAATTAAAAC